TTTGTGTTCTTCCATTAAAATATTTTCAAAAATACCGGAAGGCAATCATTACAAAGGAATTTTTTGCTGAGTGTGGATATTCCACAATTTTAATTAGAAAGTCTTTAAATCTTTACGTGTTGTAATGAGCCGGTTGTAAACGTTCCTGTCTAATTGAGTAGATCGCGCAGCAGAAAAAATATACAGCGGAGAATGGAGTCGGTTTGAAAGGGAGTTTTGGAATTTTTGTTTTAAGTGTGACCATGTAGAAAAGTGAAAAATAGCACGATCCAAATTGTTTCCTACCACTTAAAATGTCATAAGAAGCCTCCGCTCGGAATTTCAAATTGAAATAATGGTTTATTAAAATTGTTGCATTTTTTCCCCATTTCCTTGAGGTCTGTCGGCGGAAGAAACGTAGCAAGGCAATTTAGACATCGTTTACCCTGACGTTGTTTATAGGGGATTAATTTGAAATATCGCTCCCAATTACGTGGTAGAAAGGACAATAAAATATAAATTTTAGTTTTAATATATCCCTCCCGTCTCAAAACTTTTCAAGACCCTCCTAAAATGATGGATACTTTTCCCAGACCACTAATTTGGCTTTCCAACATGTATCACCCTGAATTTTAAAACTACCCCAAAATACACTTTCTTTTATCTGTATTTCTAGCATACTAAAACAACACCTTGACTATATTCTAAAGATGACTAGAATGCCGAATGCTAGATATCGCAACATATTTTCTTTTTACCTACACGGATTGTTTAGAAGGATGTGCAGATTGTCGCACAGGATGCGTGTCCACTCCTGGGGCAGGAGACACACCTTTCCTTTTGTTCATTCAAATTTGTCATCTAAACGCATAGGAGATGACATTGGTTTATGGCTAATTTAATTAGGCTCTCTTTTGGGTGGAATGTTTCTAGTATGTATTTTTATGACAAACCCCACCAGTGAAGATGTCAAAATTTGACGACCGACAGGCCAAAAATGATCGGAAACAGCCAAGCTACATGTTCATCACCCTACCTCCATCCAGTCCTGTAACTATCACCTATATGCCGATGACTCCCAAATATACATATCCTTCCACCCTTCCGATCTTCACTCGGCCATTCTCAAGATCCAAAAAGACCTAAACTCCATCAACGAATGGGCCCATAAAAATTCCCTAGTCCTAAATCCGTCCAAATCCACCGCCATAATTATCGGGTCCAGGGAACTCCTCAATTCCCTCCCTAGCATCCCACCTCTCATGCTAAATAACCATCCCATCCCCTTCTGCTCTTCAGTTAAAAACCTAGGAGTAGTCTTTGACCAAAACCTTTCCTGGCATTCTCACATTTCCCAAATTTCCCGCCATTCCATTGCCTCCCTCAGCCTGTTTCGTCGGTCCTGGCTTCTCTTACCTTTCTCCACCCGCAAACTCCTTGTATCTTCCCTTATACTTCCCTTCTTCGATTATAGCTGTTTGGCATACGGTGGTCTCTCGGAGGGGGAGAACGCGCGATTGAAGCGTATTATGAATTGTTGCGTAAGATTTGTGTACGGCACCCCACGGGGATCCCGGGTGTCGGGGTTGTATTCCCAACTTTCCTGGCTATTCCCCTCCTTCCGTGCACAGTATTTCCTAGGTTGCTTTCTTTTCCAGTCCATCCACACTCGTCGTCCTCCTTACATCATCCAATCCCTCCAATTCAACTCCTCACATCTCACTCGTAAGACCCGCTCATCCCCAATCGACCTTATCCTTCCGCAACATACAACCCATACCTTCGAAAGATCCTTTCTGATCCGAGCCCCTAAACTCTGGAACTCCCTTCCCCTTTCTATTCGTCACGCTGCCTCCTTTTCCTCCTTTAAATCCCACCTGTATAATCACCTCCTCTCCCTCCAAGCAGAGACCTCACGTTAACATTTGTTATTTTTGTTTAATATTCTCGTAATTTTTTCTTCTCTCCTGCCTTATTGGAATAACATTGTGCCAAGATTTCTATAATTTTTTTTACTTTTAACTTCATAGAAGGAACTTCTTTTATTTATTTCATGTAAATTATTCTTAGGGGACACCAGCCCCAGAATAAAGTTATTTTTCTTCTTTATTCTTTCTTTCTGCATACACCAATAGAAAACCACTCAATAATAATTATATTGATTATTCAGAAATCGTGAGATGCGGTCTGGTGAGATGTAGGTTTCAGAAAAACATTTTTTTTATCGTGCCAACGTTTCGATCTTTATTGAGATCATCAGGGCCTGGTATTTACAAACATTGTTTAAATACATGTATTTGTTAAATTTAAACAATGTTTGTAAATCCCAGGCCCTGAAGATGATCTCAATAAAGATCGAAACGTTGGCACGATAAAGAAAATGTTTTTCTNTTTTTTTTTTTTTTTTTGGCGTTATGAACTATGCATATTAGCCATGTGACAAATTCGTATATGTGTGTTCAAATTTGGGGGGTTATTGGGAAAAAAGGGCCAGGGGCAACGGTGGAAATCGAACCCACGACCGCGGCTTGAGAGTCTCTCATGCTAACCACTCGGCTACCGCGGTCCCCTAGTTGGATGATATGTTATTGCTAAAAAATAAAAGTGTTTCTTGTCAGTAGTTTTACGATAAATTTACCTCTGAAGGTTATGAAAATCCAAAACCTTTCCGACATACCCAAAATGATTGGAAAATCAAACTACACGTGTTTATCGCCGTACACCTCAAAAAAAAATCTCACAAAATTTTTCCAGTATAGTGAACAGACAAGAACTCACATATTTCATTAATGTAAGATTTTATTAATAAAAAATTCCAAAACGAGCACAACGATTGAAGGTTTTAAATAAGATTTTTTGTGTGTTATAAATAAGTAATTTATAATTCACTAGTTTTACTGGTCCGCTTGACCAATTAATATATTTCAATTAATTAAGGTTTTTAGTTGAGATAAAAAAGTCAGTGTCACGAGCGGGATTCGAACCCACGACCTTCGGTTAGACACACCGCTTCTCTACCTCTTGAGCTATCGTGACTTCGATCCACTCGGACACTAACTTCCCATGTCAACCCCACGTTCAAGTCAAGTTAAATGAAGTACATCTTCATTAATGCTTCCGTGGCCATTTCATTTGTCGCCGAGAATCAAATAGATTACACGACACTTGAAAAATGGCAAAAAGGAGGGAAAATTAAAAAGATGGGGTTGAGATGGGAAGTTAGTGTCCGAGTGGATCGAGGACACGATAGCTCAAGTGGTAGAGCGGGGGCGTATCTAGCCGAAGATCGTGGGTTCGAATCCCGCTCGTGACACTGACTTTTTATCTCAACTAAAAACTTTAATTAAATGTAATTTATAATGTTATAAATAAGTAGATCGATAACAAAAATCAGTAATCTATCTAAAATTAATAGGCTCTAAATACTCCAAACAAGCATTTATATGTAGCCTAAATTATTACATGAATTATTTATTATTAGATTAAGTTATATTAATTTTAATATAATTGAGCACAATGGAAATATAAATTCGAGTAGTTGTCTTTGCTGAACGATCAAAGTATAAAACAGCCGAACCGCACCAGCTCGGATTTTTATTTAATGAATGATCAACAAAGTTTAATGTTGTTATCTTTTTTTCTCAGGAAATAATTGCTTCGGTTAAAAAGTTAGTCTCTGGCCAATTACAGCATACACATAACATTAACGAAGTTGGAAACTCGAGTTATTAAGCGGATTGTGAGTAGAACTCGTTTTCTGCTTGCAGTTTCTTTTTCGTTTATAGTACTCAGTTTACCGAGAAGAAATTAATTGGATAATTTATGTTATGTCCAATTGCCGGAGTTGCCAGTCGAATGTATAAAAAAATTAATTTATTGAGAAAGTGCTTGATTGGCTGTCGTCCACATACAGGACTAAGAACGTTGGAATAAAACTCAGTTCATTAAGGTAGTATCTATGAATAGGTTTGCAAAGAACAGACAGGCTACCGCTACATGTTTGTTTTTCCGCTATACAAAAAATGTCACGAGGAGTGCAAGAAACCAGTAATTCAACAAATCTTTCCTTGGGTATGCTTGTATGTGGCGATAATAAGTCACTTTCCTTAGCCGATTCTCTTTCACCTGATCTACAAAACCAGTCAACGGTGGCACTTGATAAGCGGTTAAAGGGCGGGGAAGTCGCGAGGTAAAGGTCTTAAAGGGTTCTCGGGATGTAAAAGTGAAGATAAGGCTTAAGCAGTAGGGTTAGAATCGAAAGGTTGGTTTGGAAATTTAAGAAGTGTAATCCGGATCAGCTCATTGACAAAACGGCTGTTGAGGCTGTGGACAGAAAGGTCCTAGGTCTGAGAACTTTTGAAAAGAATGGAGCTTGGCGGAATCACAGAGTTCCACATTCACAAGTGATCGTAGTAATGTCCTGTATAAAGTTAGTAAAGTCGGTGATAGGTTTCGTTCCTTCTTTTAAAGTAGGGTAACTGGCACAGAAGGGTTAGGCTTAATCGCAGTAAATTCTTGTATAGAGTTAATTATATTTTGATGGTCCAAACATATATGTCGGTCCTAACAGACTTCGTAGTTGGTCGTAGTCTCTCAAGTCTTGTTGTGGGGACTCAACGTCGGTCTGCTGTCTAGGCATAATTCTAAGTTTCTAACTTGAGTGGAAGTAGGTAGCTCCTCATGTTGATGCAAGTATGTTGTTTCAATGTAAATGTACTCTGGGTGCATTTTTCCTCATTCACAGTTGTTCTTTACTTTCCACCAGTCTTAGGTAAACTCAAGGAGTTCTTGGATGTTAGAGGTTGCTTGGATAGGATTTGGGTTAAAGATAGAATTCCTATCTGCACAAATAATGGTGTTGTGATGTATAGGAAAGTCAGTAGTATAAACCAGGAATGCTCCCTTGTGAGACGCCAGTTTTTATCGATCTGATTTCTGGTTATATGCCGCATCTAACTTTGAAGCAGGGGTCAGTTAAATAGGATTCCAGGAAAAGGCAATAAGGGGTGGGTAGTGTTTCACTTTATCCTGCCTTGACAAGGATGCTTTGTCGACAGCTCTATCTAAATCCTGGACCACAGCCACAAACCCAAACAATATTCTTTGTTCTAGACCTGAGGAAATGGTGTCAACGACTCTAGAACCTTGCTGGATTGTTAAATGCAGGGGACGGCAACTGGTGAGACGATATTATGATTCTATGTGCATCTACGATTCAAAATGATTTTCTCTAGGATTTTGGACATGGCGTACTGAGGAAGGGTTTAAATTATAGTGGAAGTAATTAGATTATGTCCATACTTAGTAAACATTCGCTACATGCTGTCATCAACTTTTGTTAATATACTGGATCGTGGAATGTTAGAGATGGAAGCCGAATTTGTGAGAAGATTTGATTCTATGTACATCTAAGATAAGTATGAAAAGTTTTAAAATGAGTTTTTCTAAGGTTTTGAAGAAGGAAGAATGCTGATGAGGAGCTGGGAGATAAAGACCTTCAGCAATGAGAATGTCCACGGAATACTTCCAAAAGAGAGGAAAATGAGAGGTACTTGGGTTGGCGTTATATACAGTGGTTAAAAATCTTACAGCCTACTGAGGAAGAGTTTAAATTATAGTGGAAGTAATTAGATTATGTCCATACTTAATAAACTTTCTTTACATGTTGTTATCAACGACGCTTACCATTCTGGATCGTGGAATGTTAGAGATGGAAGCCGAATTTGTGAGAAGATTTGATTCTATGTAAATCTAGGATAAGTATTAAACTCTTAAAATGAGTTTTTCTATGATTTTGGATATTACAGGAAGAAAGCTGATGGCTGGGTGGGAGATAAAGACCTTCAGGAATTAGAATATCCACGGAATACTTCCAAAAGAGAGGAAAATGACAGGTACTTGGGAAGGCATTATTTACTGTGGTTAAAAATCCTATCGACTTCTGGGAAGAGTTCGACTCCGTAACCTTGTTGGATCGAGGAATGATGAGTAAGGATCCCCCATCATTATCAGTAGTGAGATAGATCAGTAGTGAGATAGGTTATCTATGTGAATTAACCATTTTAAAAGTAGTTTTTCTAGGTATTTTGATGGTGAAGTAAGAACGTCAATGAGAGGATATGAGGGTGATAGGTTTGTATATTTTACGAATGAGAATGTACCCTGAATACTTCCAAAAGAGAGGAAAATGAGAGGTACTTGGGATGACATATACTGTGGTTAAAGATTCTATCGCATTCTGGGAAGAGTTCGACTTCTTAACCTTGTTGGATCGAGGAATAATGGGTAAGGATGCCGAATTGGTGAGATAGATTTTCTATGTGAATTAACCATTTTAAAAGTAGTTTTTCTAGGTATTTTGACGGTGAAGTAAGAACGTCAATGAGAGGATATGAGGGTGATAAGTTTGTATATTTTACGAATGAGAATGACTACGGATTACTTCCAGAGAAAAGTAAATGTTGCTTGAAATGGCATTGTGTATTATGATTAAAACTACCGCATTCAGAGGATGGATTCGATGTACAGTGGAGGTAGTTAGGTCATATCCAGGAGGAATTGGTATACCAAGGTTATGCACTGCTTTCCAAATGCGAGTCATTTTTTCATATTTTCTGGAATCGCATAAATATTGTTTTCAAGTGAAGAGTATAGATCTTAATTTGAAGGTGTCTAATCGACAAATGACTATGTAAATTTATACAAAACTTGGCTTGTATTAGGATTTGAATATATTTTTCACCAATTTGGCTTTTGTTTGTTTTACTATATTGGTACCTATGACTGCTTATTAGGTACGAGTCCTCAGGTCAGTTCACAATGAATAAAAACAATAACATTATAGAAATTTGTTCTTGGTTCAACTCACCAATAATTTAAAACCTCCGTTAAAAATTCCACTGCGATTTCACGGGTCCCATTCCGGAGATCGTGTTTCATTTTGGCCTATTTCGATTATTCAGGGCGTTAAGAGGTCCCGGACTGGAGCGGTAAGAAATCTCTTCTGCCCACTCGAGGTCCTCCTCTTTGTCGGCCGAGATTAGATAAAGAATAAATCCGCACGGAGGCGTCAAAAGGAAATAAATAACAATAAAGAGAACACGTGCTCTGGAGGGGCACTCCTTTCAATTAAGAAGAGCTCGCCACCAACAATGGCCGGATTAGGAGTGAAAGGAGGTAATTGTTGATGACACCTCTTCTCCGTTATTAATATCACACCCACCAAATATGTGACGGGATTATTCTGTCTTAACTCACAAGAAAGTTTAATGTGTGATAAATGTTTCTTGCTTATGTAGTTCATGACTTTTTAACGTTCAGGACATTCCAACTTAAACAAAAAGATCGCACCAATACACTGTGTTATAAGCATCAGAGTTAATTGTCCATTAATTTGAGTACTTAGTCCTTTGTAAATATGTAATTAAGTATTTAAATAAGTAAAAAGGAAGACCGATGGTAAACAATGGGCGCACAGTCAGTAGGCATTTACAACCTCAAATTAACCCTTTTTAACATCAAATTTACCTTTTTTTAAAGTTTGTTTAAATAACAATTTTATTGATCAATTATTTTATATTTGAAAAAATCTCGAAATAATATAAGAACGATTTGTTTTTTATATTTAATTAATTATATAAAAATAGAAAAAAATTTATTTATTCGAGATTTTTTTAAATGTCCACTAATTATTTTATAGCCCAGTTATTTTACATATATTAACAAAATATTTCATTATTAGAAGAACCATTTATTTTACACTTGTTTATATAAAATTTTTAATTTTAATTGTAATTAATTTTCATATCATATTTTAGATAAGGATCAGTTTTATGATTTTAAAATTTCTCAAATTAAAAAAAGATTCTTTTATTTTTATGTTTATTTATTTTATATAACTTTTTTAATTGATTTCAACTCCATATATTTGTTCTAAGAACATAATTATTTTATATTTCTTTTAAATTCGTAAAAATATAGGAAGTTACTCTAAATATTTATATTTCATATAAGCTCCTAAAAGTTTTATTGCTGTAAAGGAAGTGATAATTTGAAATTAACGAAACGTTCATTTGCAAATACAAATGATTAATTTGAAGTTAACCAGGTTTAATTTTCAAGTGAAAGGGGTTAATTTGCAATTTAAAAAAAGGTTAATTAAAATTTAAAAAGGATTCATTTGAAACATAAAACAGGTTAATTAGAAGTTAAAAATGGTTAAATTGTAATAAAAGAGGGTCAATTTGAATTTAAAAAGGGTCAATTTCAAATTTAAAAAAGTTAATTTGAAGTTAAAAAGTGGTCATTTGCAATTAAAAAAGTTCACTTGAAGGTAAAAAAAGGCTAATTTGAAATTAACCAATGTTAATTTAAATTTAAAAGTGGATAATTTCAAATTCATATCATATTTCAGATGAGGATCAGTTTTATCATTTTAAAATTTCTCAGATTAAAAGAAGATTCCTTTATTATTTTTTTTATTTTTATAACTATTGATTTTAATTATATTTAATTTCATATGTGTTCTAAGAGCATAATTATTTTTTTTAATTCGTAAAAGTATTGGAAGCTTACTTTACATATTTATATTTCATAATATCTCCTAAAATTGTTATTGCTGTAAAGAAAGGGTTAACAAAAATTATCAAAACATTGCAAATACAAATAATTAATTTACAAGTAAAGGTTTAATTTACAAGTAAAAGGGATTAATTTGACGTTAAAAAGGGTTAATATAAAAAAGGTTAATTAGAAGTTAAAAAGGGTAAAATTGCAATTAAAAAAGATCAATTTGAAGTTAAAAATGGTGAATTTCAAATTTTTTTAAATTAATTTGAATTTAAAAAGAGTTAATTTGCAATTAAAAATGTTCTCTTGAAGGTAAAAAGGGTACTTTGAAATTAACTAATGTTAATTTAAAATTAAAAGTGGATAAATTCTAATTAAAAAGGTTACAATGAAGGAAAAAATATATACACCCTCAAATTTACACATGTATGTGGTGATCACTATGAGGGTTTCACAATGCTTAATTTTGTCTAAATGTAAGCTTCAAACTTCAAAATGGGTGAGGCCCATTCATTCTCAAATTAAAAGGAGATTCCTTTATTTTCATGTTTAATTTTTTATATCTTTTGATTTCAATTGTAATAATTTCAGTATGCGTTCTAAGAGCATAATTATTTTATATTCTTCTAAATTAAAAATATAGGAATATTGCTCTACATATTCGTATTGCATAGCAACTCCTAAAATTTTTATTGCTGCAGTAAGGGTTAATTTGAAATTAAAAAAGATCCATTCGCAACTACAAAAAATTAATTTGAAATTAACCAGGTTTAAGTTGCAAGTAAAATTAGTTAATTTGAAGTTAAAAAGGGTTAATTTGAAATATAAAAAAGGTTAATTAGAAGTTAAAAATGGTTAAATTGCAATAAAAAAGGGTCACTGTTAAGTAAAAAAAGGTTAATTTCAAGTTAAAAGGGTTAAATTCCAATTAAAAAAGGTTCACTGGAAAGTAAAAAGGTTAATAAATAGATAATTAAACTCATTTAATTATACACAATTTTTTCGAAATGAAACAGGCGGGATTCGAACCCACGACTTTCGGCTAAATACGCCGCTCGTCTACCACTGACTTCGATTGCCCATGCCACCAACTTCCTATTTCGACTGCCCGTTTTATTACAGTTGTAAGCAAATCGCGGCTTCACATATAAACACTTTTTTATTAACGATTGTACTACATTAGCGGGACTTGGTACGATTCACAGGTGTGACCCTAGATTAATACTAATTTTGCTTAATTTATTATGCATAAGCATTATAATTGTGTATAATTAATTGATTATTTATATAATTAAGCAAAAGCTGATAAAAATAATTAAAAAGTTAGTGATAATTTTAAATTAAAAACAGTTGATATGAAGGAAAAAATTAATTATATACATACTCAAATTTACACAAGTATGAGATGACATCCCTACGAGTGTTTCACAGTTCAAAATGTAAGTTTCAAATTTGAAAATGGGTGAGGCCAAATCATTGAACGTTTAGGAACGATAGTGTCAATCTGTGCACTGCTCACCGTCTGTGGTCCATCAATTAATTAATAGATTAATTAACCGGGTCGGAGACGAGTTTGCCAATTATGCCATAGGAAGGTTGCCAGCTATTTGTTGGCTTAGAGTGCCCTCCTAATGGGTTGCCAGCTCGCCAAAGAATTAACTGACAACATACGTCTGAACGCTAATTTACTACCCGGCCCAAATTTACTCATTATCTCCATCTGTTTATTATACGAGAGTCTTTATTTGACAACATGTCTCGCTAATTTTCGCCTTCTTCTTTATTATTTCAAAAACATCGGTTTATTTCTCCATTAAAGTGGTCCTATTTCTCGAGAAGCTGCCAGTTATTATCTTGTAATATCGCTTTGCTCCGTTTATTATTCCAACGAAAATAATTCAATGTAAAAAATGTACATCTATTTAACATTTATTATTTGTTTTCTTTGATTTCATATATTTCAAGCTCATTTTACACAATTTTATATTCACATCTAGTAAAAAACACAAAACAACACTAAACAATGACAACCATATTATTCTTAATTTGTCCAATATTTCTATAAGAATGATACCGGTACCAACTGCGATCATGAAATACCCAAGTTCTTCCATCTTCCAGCTATTTCAAAGGCACTAAAACCAGAAAGATAACGACATTTTCGTCAGTCATTCGTCTGACAAAATGCGTTTGGTTCTATCCACATATTGGGTTTCTTGATATTTGAAAATCCCGAAAGATCATTCAAGTATGTTTTCGACATGTTCGATCAGGTGCTATATGATTTCATATATTTCTATGATATATATCATAAATTTCAAAATTGTGAATAAATATTGTATCAATAATTAAATTCGCTGGTTCGGTCGCTGGTTGTGTTTTATAACGTAGGTAAAAACTAACTACATACAAAAAGCACCAGAAAACAATCCGTCCCGGAGGACCAATTTTTGTACTAATTGTAAGATTATCTGTTGAAACACAAATCTAGTCTTAAAATAAATCAGCGAGGACAGTCCGTCATATCTGAGAACTAAATTATTTGTAATTTGGTCGTTACCAGGTTTGAATAATGCATTATAACATAGACAAAATAAGACAACCATGATCAATCCGGCCCGGAGGACCAATATATTAGACTTTTTACTGAAAGACATTCTGACTGAGAAGCGAGGATACGCGGAGCAGAATATTCCGAAACGACCTAATAACTTGCTCATCCTCCAGGACCCTCAGTGGTATATTAAAAATTTGGTCGTTGCCTTTCATTTTGGTCTGCCTTTCCTCCGCCATCATCAGTGTATCTATGTTGTGAAGTCAAGTCTCTTTTATAAAGTTACCGTTGTTTGACGGTGCCTTTGGTGGTTTAAGTGTTTTTATTTGTTTTTAATTGTGCCGGTGTTCTTTGTGATCGTTGGTCTTTTTTATCGTATCGATCAAAAACCGGGAACACCCCGACAAGCACCCCACCTCTCAGGACCTAAAAGTGACGTGACTTTACAGAATCTCACTGACATACTGCACATGGCGAAATGCCGTAACGCGTCTGATAGATAACCTCACGAAAATCGGCAAACCAAGATGACCAAATTTCATGTT